TCAGCGATGAGAACCTGATGGGACGAATGTTGGCGGCCACCAACACTGGCGTGTTTCACGTGATCTTCCACTTAGTTACAAAAGCCCCTTGGCTCACCTGTGGCAGAAGCATGTTTTCCGAAAAGCCCATGTTCTCCCAGGGCCCAGAAGTGTGTCCCACATCTGCTGTGAAGGCTGCTCGTATCCCAGAGGTCAAAGCCATGGACTTTGCAGCTCTGGAGCCCTTCCTCCTCTACAGAAAGGGCCGGTGGCTGCCGTGTGGGTGGGGAGAGGGCCCCAGCTAACCCGAGGGGCTGTCCAGGCAGCAGGTCAAGGGGGACAGCTGAGGTCAGCCTGGCTCTGGCCTTCCACATTCTTAGCTTCTCTGGGGTGACCCACAGCTTGAGGCAGGAGGGCTGGTTGGGCTTTGGAATCAGACCTGGATTTGAAGCCTGCCTTTCCTAAGAGCTCACAGTTATAAAGTAGGAAAGTGTTTTTCAGAGCCTGTCCCTTCAGCTATCAAGTGGGAGCGGGATCCGTAGTTTTAGGGTTTAAGAGATACATAAGAACCTGTGCTCGGAGTGCCTAGCACAGGTGTGGTGTGTGGTATCTGCTCGGCGAGTACGCCGTCTTCCCAGCTCTGCCAACAATGTCCAAGGGCTTATCTGCCTATCACAGTTCGTGTCTCTGGCTTCTCACAGAGCCAGCTGCGTGCCTTGGTAAGTTGTCCCTGATTGCAACTTGCCAATCTTTTGGGTCTTTACTCCTAGGGCCAAACGATGGCCCTAACTTGGCCTGCCTTATCATCGTGTGCCAGGCTGACTCCTGAGCAGCAGTTACCAGCCTGCTGCCTTGGACTCCTCCACTCCGGGCCCAGCTGGAGAATCTGGCCTGCCCTGCGCTTCCCTTTCGAGCTTCTGCATTCAGAGCTCCCTCTGGAGATTAGTATCATGGCACCTGGGAGAGATGCCTTCTACCCCACCCTCCCAGTGGTCCCTCCTCGACATCTGGAAGCCCTTCAGGGACAGGCCCTTGGGGTTCCTGTTGTCACCCACAGAACCTAACGTAAGACCTATTTAAAAATGGTAGGTGGACCCCAGTGAAAAAAGCAAAATGGGAAGGCTGCTCATTCATGAGGTCTCCAAGGTCATGAGTGTGCAGCCCTCAGCAGCCCTGGTCCCCCACCAACTACAACTCTCCACCCCTGCGCCCAACACCTGGGACACAGGCCTCATCTGAACAGCGACCCCAGTCAACCCTGGATGAGGCCATCTACTGTGGACCAGCTCTGATTTACAATACGTGAGCTGTAGCTCAGTCCGGTTTAAATCTTTCTGGCCAGGTGCTTCCAGATAATGTTAGAGGTGGTGGCTGTATAATGTCAAAACTACCTTTCAGTGAGAAGACTGGTGCTATTTTTTTTTTTTTTTTTTTTGGTATTAAAAACCATTTACAGTGTTTCTGCGTTTCTATTTTAGACAACTCTGGGGGGTTTTTTTTGTTTTTTTTTTAGACAAAAACTTTCTTATGCTTATTCAGAGGAACAGTGCCTCTAAGATTTTAATGTACTCAAGTCTTCATGAAATCTGAAGATGCAGATTCTGCACTGGTAACAAGCCCCCAGGTGCTGCTGGGGCTGGGACCACACTTGTAGGGCGATGGCGGCAGGCGACCGCGGAGGCCAGCGCCATACTCACCAGGCGTGTTTTCATGCCGTGACCAGCCGTGTTTGCAGACTTTCTGGAACATCTATTTAGAAGTCTGAATGGTCCTTTATGAGGGGGGGCTCTGAGTTAGCCCTCTCCCATGCTGCAGTGAGTTCCTTGGGCAGTAAGACCGCTCCTTTCATGGGTTATTTTCTTTTATAGCTTTTTACTTGAGTTATGCCTCACAGTTGCCCTCCTGGAAGACGCCTTTTAAGTTGGTGTTAACGACATGTGACTCGGGATTTACAGTCGTCCTGTTTCCTCCTCTCCCAGGCCGCCAGCGCTCCTACCTGGCCCTGCTGTGACCTGGCCAGCACCCTCGTTAACCAGAGGGTTCTCAGAGCCCCCCCTCCCCGGAAGAGGAACTCGGGCCACCCCCCCTCACAAGCCCCCTTTCTTTGAAGAACTTTCCCCAGCAATTGATTAACAGGTAACAAAACTACCTGGCTCAAATGTTCTCCAGCAGCCGGCGAGGGCAGCAAGGCAGCCTCAGGCTCTGATGAGCTAGGGAGGCAGCCGGAGGGAGAGGCCGGCCGTTCACGCCTGAACCAGAAATGTCAGAGAGAAACAATTCGGCAGCATGGGCTGGAAAGTTTTATTTTTTGCTGTTGGGGGAATGAAGGGGACAGGACAGAGTAATGAGGAGGGAAGGCTCTCCAGTGCCGCCTGCTCCCACAACAGCAGGGCAAGGCCTATGGAACGGAGTGGGTTATGTGCAGTAAGGGACCACCCCAAAATGGGCCAGCTGGGTGAAGACCACAGAAATTGTAGCAGGGTAATTTTTAAGTTAAAAACAAGGGTGGGGGGAACAAACGAATAGCTTTGCATTTGGTGTGTTTCCTATGTCCACTGAGGTTTGCCCGGGGGGAAACGGAGGGCAAATAGTGACCTCAGGCCCCTGGGGCAGCTACTCCAGGGGTGGGGGAACAGACCCCTCCCAGGCGGGGCCCCTGTGCGGGGACAGAGCGGCTACGCGCGCCTGTCTGCTCAGCTGGTGTCCATCTCTGATGAAGAGGCAAGGCTGACTAGAGAGAAGCCCAGGCTGGGGCACCGAGCCAGGCCGAGCAGCTCGTCTAGTGCGGGCCTGCGGGGCACACGGCTAGGAGGGCTCCCCCGAGAGAAGCTTCAGGGCAGCTCTGCAGATGCGGGGCTGGCAAAGGGCTGAACCTGCCCCTTGTGGTGGAGGGTGAAAGGGCAGGGCCTCAAGGTCTTCTAGAACAGTCTGCCAAGTGGCCTCCGCCGCTCCATATAGGCACAGAGTCCCTGACTCCTTGTCAAAGGCCCAGGCTGGAGCAGTGTCGGGGACGCATGTCACGGGGGTGGCTCTGGCGGCGGGTGACCTTCGTCCCCTACCCTCGGTCTCCTCCTCCTACCTTTAGAAAACTCATGTCAAGGACAAGCAAAAGAAGCCTCTTGACAAAATCTTTCATTCTTAGACCCCTCCCCACTCCACAGGCCAAAATAGTTTAAAATGAAGAAATCTTAAAAAAAAAGGACCACACTAGCCTGATTTTAAGACCCAGGAAAGACCCTGGTGGCATGTGTCACCCATCAGCCGTCCCCCTGAACTTGGCAGGACATCCAAGGCAGATGGACGGTGGGGAGCTCTGTGGGCAGTTCCTAGATGCCAGTGGCCTTGCTCCTCAGAGAGGCTTTCCCTCTGCCAGGGACTCGCCAGGGACTCACCAGGGAGCCGAGCAGGCTGCGAACCTGGGGCGGCTCATCAGAGAGTGGCAAATGACAGACACCAGGAGGGAAAAGGGCATGTTCAGGCGCTAGAAATGCTCTGAACACCTCGTGCTTCATTCCCCATTTGCCTCATCCGCAGGAGGTAGGTACCCCTCAACGGTTGGTTGATCTAGAGATTGCATTCATCGTAGCCCCTGACAAAATCAGGGTCTTGACACTGAATCCAGCCAAGGAAATTGGTTAGCACAGTATTTAGTACTAAATTCAGTTAAAACTAGGACTCTGGAGAAAGGGGAGTGTTCTGATCTCTCCCCAGCTGTTTCCTAAGTTCCTCCATCCTGTACGACCCTCAGATTCTTTCTAGCTCTAAGTAAAGCTGTGCTCGGCCTCCCCGGCACCCCTTCCCTGGGGGGGATGTGAGAAGCTCCAAATCCATGTGCAAGTGGGGATGGTGGCAGATGAATCTGTAATGCAGGGCAAGGGGTGACCGGTGACACACAGGTGTCTACACATATGCATACATGTATATAGAAACAAAGTATTTTAATTCTCTCTTTACATGGCCCCAGGCCTCCTCCTGTCAGGAGAACTCCAGCAGCCCCCCCCCGCCTTGTGGCTGCGAGGTGCTCGGTGTGGCGATGGCCTTTATGGCCTTTAGTACAGGTCGTCCCGGCCAGCTGGGGCAAGTGACAGCTGAAATTCTGCACAGACTGCTGTACGGGGCCATGAGCAGCCCCTGCCTCTCCAGTTGACCGAACCTCAGCTCCAGCTGCAGTGTGTCCCAGCTGTCAGAAGCCTCCAAACACCAGTCATGCAGCTTACACCTACTCTGGATTTTTAGAAAATATTTATACAGAGCGAGCACAATCAACGTGCTTATTACGCACTCTAACGTAGAGCACAGGAATACACACCACGGAGCGCAGCCCAGGCCGGCTCCAGCGCGGGCAAAGGGCGGAGGTCAAGCGTGGGCACGCGGCCTGGCGGCGGGAAGAGGCGGAGCACCGCAGGCCCCAGCCCTCCACGTGCCCGGCCGACGCCGAGAGCCCGTCCTCCTTGTCCCGTTGGTGGCAGGAGCAGTCACCGAAACTATGGCATTTTCTGAGGGCGGAGGATGTCAGACCACCTGTTGCGGAGGGAGGAGGGCGGAGCCCGGAGATGATCTAGAACTACCTGCCGGAGGTCAGGCTGGCTCAGGACCCCCAGGCAGGGTCTGCTCTCTGGGGGCCGAGGAGGGCTGACGCGGACTCCCTCAGACACGCACACTCCCCCCCCTCGCGTGCCCCGGGTTTGGGGGGTGGGGCGTGGGAGTGCACTTCCAAGAGTGGGCACAAAAATAGATGAGCATGCTCGCTTGACACAGTGAGGGTATCTTTTAAAAGCTCCTCCCCAGCTGCTGCAAATTCTCTTCCCCACTCTGCTCCAGAACTTTCCGCTCCTCGGCTGGACCAGGCCTGGAGGGGAGGCCCTCCTGGAGGGGAGGCCCTGGAGCACGCTTGCGAGGTCTGTATGTGCCCGGGAAGAACACCAGCGTGGGGACGGCGGGGAAGTCTTGCCAGGGCAAAGCCACAAGGCCTCCTGCCACCTTCCACACAGGTCTCCCCTTCCCCTGCTGCGTAATAAACCGCTCTCGGCTCATCCCGGCTCACCAGGACTGCCTGAAGAGTTTCCGGTACTGCTGCTACTCAAAAACATGTTGGGAGGAAAAAAGGTTGGCATGTCGAGTTCTGTTTTTGCATTTCCAGTAGTAAGTGCTGTTCCACGAGCTCCGAGGAAGTGGGCCCTAGCCCTCCTTGGGGCCTGTGCTAGGAGCTCTGGATGAGGCGTCTGTAATGGGGCATGACTTCGTGCTCCGGCAGATGAAGAGCGAACTCCAAGGCCACTAACACTGGGAATTCAAAGGCAATCAGTTCTCGTCTATTTAGCCGGAACTTCTCTTCCAGTTTCTGCAACAAAATGAAAGGAAATCAAGAGCATTTTAGCTTTGAAATAAAACTCTCTCTCCATGTGTACGCTCTCTATCCACCCGGCAATGAGTGTTTACGGAGAAACCCCTTAGAGGCAAGACTGTGCAGGAAGAAGGGGGGCATCAGCTGTACTTCCTGCTCTCAGTCCTAGCGGAGAAGGAACTGAACCACCCCAAGGAGGCCCGGCCTGCCAGGCGCCTGACATACAGCCCCTGACTTCATTTAATCTCTCCATAATCACACAAGGTCAATGCTACGTTCATGTCCCCCTCATGGGGCACAGAGAACAGGGTCAAGAGGGCAAGAAGTTTGTCTACGGGGACACGCACAGTCAACTGCAACGCTGAGCTCCCACCTCAACCGGGGTTCAAACTCCACCTGTTACCGTAGATGATTCAGGTGTGGAGGGAAGACGACAAAGGTCACAAATCCTCTACGACAGTAGTAACTCTGTGGTAAGTTCAGGATTGGGGCAGCTGACTATGCAGCTTGGGCCTTTCGCTTCACACGCGAGGACCCAAGACCTGCTGCGATCACCTGCCTTTCAGGCCGTCGTCCAGCTGGAGCCTGTGGGTGCGACGGGCCTGAGCATGCAGCTGTGCTCAGCTCGCACCCAGGGCCTCCCCCGCTCCTGCCCAGCCTCTTGTTCCACCCAGCGGTGGAGGCTGCGGGAGCAGGAAGGAAGGAGAACGGGGTGGGGGTGGGGGAGGCAGGGAAGGCCTGGTTTTTGCCAGGGTGCATTCTGCTTTGGCTTAATAAAAACAAGGACAACAGAACTCATGGGCAGAGCCATTAGTGGCTGTGTTCCAATTCCAACTGGGAGGGGACCTTGCGTCAGCCTCACAACTCCTGCCAATGTCAGACCGTGGCCCGTAGGTTCTGCATGGACGCTATAGGCTTTTGCCAGACGGTCCATTACTCGACTACCAATAAATGTGCATAACATCACACTCGTAAAGATTAGTTCAGTGAATATCTATGTAAATCTGTTGATTCTCAGCTCTGATTTGGTAACCAAAGATCCCTTCCATGTTCCTAAAAGTATACACAAGTTAGACGATTATGTGCCATTTCTTAGAAGCAGTAAAGCACTGACTTAACACTTTCTTCCATCTATGGATGAATGGATAAGCAAACTGTGGAATATACAGCCAGCGAGGTATTATTCAGCCTTAAAAAGGAAGGAAATTCTGACACCTGTTACAACATGGATGGATCTTGAAAACCTAATGCTAAGAGAAATAAGCCCATCACAAAAGACAAATAGTATGGGATTCCACTTATGCGAGATCGCTCGAGTCAGGTTCAGAGACAGAAAGCAGGACGGTGGTGGCCAAGGCCTGGGAGGGGAGGGGGAGTCAGTGCTTAACGGGGACAGAGTTTCAGGTCTGCCAGAAGAAAAAGTTCTGGAGATGGACGGTGGTGACGGCCACACAAGAGTATGAGTGCGCCTGATACCACTGAACTGTACACTTAATAAAAACGGTGAGTTAAAGCAAAAAGGAATACTCTTTCTTATGTAACAGCTCCCTTTCTGCTTTTTTTCCTTTGCCGCTGAGCCAGCCGCACAACCGGACACACAGGGCATTGTCGTAGCCACGACTTGTAGTTGCTGGATTCTAAGCTTCGCAGTCTGGGGCCTCGCTGACCCTGGAGGCTCAGCCCCTTTTAGGTACGGTTAGCCAGTTCCTAGAGAGGGTGCACACCTTTAATGTGCAAACCAACCAATCTGAGGCCCACACCTCCACCATCTCCCCCATCCGCCTCTCACACTCCACTTGCCCTCAGCACCCAGGGCCAGGGAGACAAGTAGGGACAGCGCACCTGCCCCAGAGTCCACTCAAATGACTCTAGCTAGCCAGTCCGAAGCCTGCGTACCCTGACTGTTCCTTCCTGCCCACAGTTCCCCCTTCTCCTTCTGCCTCCTGACCAACCACAGTACGGTGTTCCCTTCCCCGCCGCCCCAATTCATATGTGGACACCCTATCCTCCAACGTGCTGATATTAAGTGGGGGGCTTCGGGAGGTTGAGGAGCTGATGAGTGCAGTCCTCAGGATGTTATTAGTGCCCTTGTAAGAAGAGAGCAGAGAGCTTGCTTGTTCACTTTCCCTGCCATGTGGGGACATAGTGAAAGGGAGGCCGTCACAAGCCAAGGAGGGCGTGCTCACCAGGACCTAAGCCGCTGTCATCTCGATCTTGAGACTCCCTGGCCTCCAGAACCGGAAGAAGAAAGTGTCTGTGGTTTAAGTCGCCCCGTCTATGGGATTTTGCTATGGCAGACCGAGCTAAGCCACTTCTCTTGGGAACTGTGATAAGAAGCTATCTTTTCAATGGCAACGGTCTTCTGATCTGTTGGTTTTACTGTTTCTCAAATTTTCTATGAATACACTATTTTAAAACAGGCATTCACATAGCCACCCAAGATTGGGGTTTCCTTGCTTTGAGGGGGCTCTCCTTTAAAAGGAGGACGGACCCCTCAATCAAACCCATGCCCTTCCTCAAAGAAGAGGCAACTAAGGCCACAGGAAGCCAAGGCCTGTTGAGCCAAAGTGTCTGACGGACACTCTGTGGTCACACCGCCCCCAAGTCCCCTTCCCGTGACAGTGGCTTCTGTGGTTTGAGAATAATTTCACCCCTCATGGTGTCTGGAAATGGATTTTTATGGCCAGACCCAATACTGGGGATCTTCGGTCTTGTCAAAGTGGACCATCCGTCTCTTCCAGGACAGCCTGAGCTGTGGGGGGCCCGACCTCCACTGCAGGATGACCTCACAGCCCCGGTCTCTCAGTGGCTACTAACAAGCAGAATTCTCCCGGGTAGGATCACCACCCAGGTTCTTCCCATGTGCTCCCTCAGCCAACAGGACTCAGGTCACTCACGTCAATTAAATGCTTCACTTCGTGCTTTTTCAGGTCACTTCCGATTTTGGCTGCTAAGAGTACACATGCTCCGGCACAAAGCTTCCGGTTCTGTTTGTTTAGCTTTCCCTTGAGGGCGAGCTTCTCAAAATAGACAAAGGCCATGGCCACTGTGGGCTCCTCGAAGCCACAGTCCTCCTGGGCAAGCTTCCGCATCTCTCGCTTCAGACTAGAGAAAGACAGGAAGGAACATTATCAGAACTTGGCAGTTTCAGGACTCCAAAGAGAAAGACTAGTCCATCCTGAAAGCATTTCCTTTTTCTCATTCCCAGAAGGGTGACATGGAATGGGACTAAATCCTGAGGCGTAAGAAATTTCCATTCTATGTGGGTAACAGACTTAAGCTGCTGGGGCTCTTTTCTCTTGGTGGAACTGTAGACCACATCAACAAGGGACACAGAAGGCCACACTGAACCCAGGTAGTGTCTGAGGGTCTCTGGAAACTAGGTGTAGAGCTGTCCAAAGGGAAACTATGAGGGGAACTATGATCATTCCAGACAGACACCTAGAGAAACTAGGTCCTTGGTATCAACTCTACTGAGGATCTGCCGTGTTCAAAAACTATGACGGAAGAGGGATTAGGACAGCACAACAGCCAGTGTACTTAGGAATGCTACCCAGCAAACGGACAAAGTGTGAATACTTCATTTTTCTCACATCTGGCTTGGAACATGCCAGAATCAAATCAGTATTGGGCTACACAGCATGTAAGTATTGGCACATACTCCCACGCTGTGTTGGCATATAGTCCAGCCTCCGTCACTATGTGCACCGAGCGTCTGTCCTGACAGACGCAACCCCAGGCAGCTCCTCTCCGACCCGGCAGATGTGGGTCACCACAAAGTCAATCCCATCAGCTGCAGGGGAAACATGGGCCTGACTTTGCTTTGGCTGTCAAATCTCGGGTGGACGACTGTGGGCAAAGAATTATCTCAAATGCCATCAAACCAACTCTTTTCTGTTTTGCCTACACTTGAGAAAGCAGGGAACTGAGTGTTTCCTATTCTGAGTTTTCTGTAACATAACCCTGACTGAAATGCTAAGCCTCAGACAGTAGGAAATACTGATTCTTTCACTTAAGGCAACTCCCCCCCCAACCCATGTCAACTCGCGTCAGGAGCTCTGCCTTCTGTCCTGCTTCTCTGGGCTCTCACTCACGGAGGCAGGAGTCAGCCAACCCCGGGTGAGCCGCTCCTTGCTGCACGCACCTGTGTTTTACTTCCCCAAACGACACGAGGAACCGGCACACAAAGCGTGAGGTTATTCATGCATGCCAGGAGAGGGCTTGAATGGAGAGTTCGAGGGGATGTCGAGCCTCACGTACCTCCTTATTTTGCTGAGTGTTAACTTGACGTGAGGAAACTTCTCCTTGAAGGTCTCGTTCATGTCCTTCTTGAGGTCTGAGGGCTTCACGTAGTCGATTACTGTGGTCTGTAACAGGTCGGGCAACTCGGGTCACTCTTTTAAAAATTTTTTTGAAGATTTTATTTATTTGAAAGAGAGAGACAGCCCCAGTGGGGAGGGGAGGGCAGAGGGAGAGGGAGAAGCAGACTCCCCACTGAGTAGGGAGCCTCACACGGGGCTTGATCCCAGGACCCCGGGATCATGATCTAAGCCGGGCTCGCTGCTCAGCGGGGAGCCTGCTTCTCCCTCTGCTGCTCCCCCTACTTGTGCGTGTGCTAAGTCTTAAAAAATAAATAAATAAATAAAATAAGGGTCATCGGTAACAATTATGTGCACATTATGGCCAACTTATGCCACTTCTGACAGCACCGAGCAGTGAGGAAGCCCGGAGGAGAGGCATGACAAGGGCCCCCCTGAGCCCGAGCACCTGCAGGGACACGGTCTCTGGGACACAAATCCCTGCTCCAGCAGGCGACTTTGGGAAGCAGTGGCCTCCACACAGCCAGCAATCAGTGTCTGGCAGGGAGGGAGCCCCTCTTTCAGTTCCTGGGCCTCAGCCTGTTACTTAGCAGCGTTTAGGGCACGGCCGGTAGACCCACACACATGAGGCTTCAAGCCACACTTGACCATCGCTAGTCGTCCGGCTGTGGGACATTTATCTAACTACCCCAAACATCAGGTTCCACATCTGTAAGATGAAAACAGCTAACAGTGCCCACTTCACATGGCTATTATAAGAACCACAGGGGAAGTCAAGGGCTCGGTGCTGCGCTTGGCATACAGCAAGCACTCGATAAACGTTAGCTATTGTTTCGTTGTGGGAAAATATACATCACATAAAACTTGCCATTTTAACCATTTTAAAGTATGCGGTGTGGTGGCATTAAGTACATTCACGCTGGTGTGTGGCCATCACACCACCCATCTCCGGAACTTTCATCATCTTGCAAAACCAAAATTCTGTCCCCCTTCAACAACTCCCTATTCCCCCACCCCCACCCCAGCTCCCACTGGCAACCGCCATTCTGCTGTCTCTGAACCTGACTTCTCTAGGTCCCTCGTACAAGTGGAATCATAACAGTGTTTGTCCTTTCGTGGCTGGCCTGTCTCCCTCAGCATCATGTTCTCCAGGTTCAACCACAGTGCATCCCAGGTCAGAATTCCCTTCCTTTTTAAGGCTGGGTAGCCTTCCATTGCGTGTACATGATGTCGGCTACTAGTAACAGTCCTTTAAACCTTCGGTTTCTTTCTCTTCCCCTCCCCTTCTTTTTTTTAGCAGGCTCTTAGCCCAATGTGGGGCTTGAACTCACAACCCTGAGATCAAGAGCTGCATGTTCTCCAGACCGTGCCAGTCAGGCGCTCCTCCCCTCCCCCTTTCTAATCCCATCCATCTTTAAAGACTGGTTCCTTCGAGCCCCTTCTGAGGCCCCGGGTCTTCCTGGCTCATCTGTGCTGTATGGTATTAACTCTGAATGAAACACAGTCTCTGGCTGGGTCTCACCAGGTTAGCTTCACTCCTCCTCCTCGGGATTCTGCTTTCGAAGGGCAGCAACAATGCCTGATGCCTCTTTGGCTGGCTGTTGGCAATAACCTTCACCAGGCAGAGCCCGGGAAAGGAGCAGGTACGGATTCTGCTGAGAAGTCCTGTTCCTGGGGACGGCTTCTGCGGCCTGGCCTCTCCCGAGGCACACATCATCACGTTCCCCCATGGCTCTACACCAGCGGGTGGCTAGCTGTAAACACCTCCGGTTCAGAAGACGCTTGGCCAGACAGGATTTTAGAACTGGCACGTGGGAGGCCTCCGGTGTCCATTAATAACCGAGAGGAGACACAGCCAGCATGTCCCGATTCACACTGATCTAAACAGCACCTTTGTAACAGCAGCTTTGGCAAGTAAAAGCGAAACCATGGCAAGATGAACTCAAAACGGTTCCACCAAACTTGTTCAGAACCTTCTCAAATTCTGGGTGGAAGCAGACTTTGGTGCGATGCCAAGAGTTCTTCCGTGGCGCCATGTCTTTCTGGCCCGATCCAGAAGGCTCTCCCTCAGCTGACCCACGACACAGCTGTTCTGGGAGCCGCCCTGTGCACGCACCTGTGATGTGCTGGCAAGGAGCCAGGGAGTGGCTCCGTGGCCCCAGTGTGCAAACACGAGCATGCACACACTTGTGTGCGGTGATGCTGTGCTGGGCGGCAAGAGGAGTGGGGCACGGGACTTCACGGAGGCACTTACTGTCTCACAGAGTGGACGCTTCCCCTGTGGCAGCCCTCCAAGACGCGTTTATCATCCCCGGCAGACGGGGCTGAACAGGATGTACGATCTGTCATTTAGGAAAGCGGCAGCAGAATGGGGAACTACCTCTAACACGGTTACCTCAAGCTGGGCCCACTGTCCAATCAGCCAATTCTTCTGTTCCCAAAATACTCAGCCCTCCCTCCCTCTTCTACCCCACACCAGGCACCCCGAACTCTCAGGGACAGACTCTCCTGCTCATCCTCGGTGGATGCAAGTCTCGAGCAGACTCACAGGCCTTTGCTGGGGACTGAAGCCTGGTGAGCTCCAAGCAAGGATATCCCAGAGTGGAAAGCGGTGGTCTGGATCCTTCCCTGTGGCAGCCACAGCAGCTCTGCTCTGCCCTGTACGCAGATACACACACAGAGAAGCGGCCTGCAGCTGAGAGCCAGCCACCTCGTCCCCCGTCTCCCGGACGTGGACGCAGAGGCTCAGAGGGGGGAAGGGGCGGGGCCAGCCCCGGAAGCCGGGCTCCCAGCTCACCACCCGCACTGCCTTCCTGTGTTTCCACTCTTAATTGGGCTAAAAGGAGCACGGGAGCCAGCTCGAGACTGCCGGCAGGTAGGAAGGGTCAGCTGGCGGTGGGCAGCTCTGCCTCCAGCAAGGTGGCAGCCCTGAGAAGAGGTTCAGCTTCCCGAGGCCTCGCCTCTGCTTCCCTGAATGAGGAAAAACACCTGGCACGGCTGCTTCACAGGTTTCTCCCAAAGCGCCGACAGAGAGGACACCACGTACCTAAAGGACACTGGAGAAGTCTATCAGTCTATCAAGAGCACAGAGACAGGAGATGGCAGAGGGCCGGGCTCTGCTCCAGGCGCGCTGAGTCCGCGTGTGAGGGTGGCGGGGGGGCGGAGGGGGGCCTGGGATCCATCCCCACAGTCACGTTGCCCGGGTGACTTGCACACCCAGCAGAGTCTCCTCGTCTGGCTAGCGCCCAGCCACGGCTCGGCCTGGAGCCGCTTCTACGGGATCATCTTCCCTAAAGCCCCGGCGGCCAGGTCACTCTTCCAGTGATTCACCTTCACTACACGCTATGGTCTGGAGAGCCGGCCCTCTCCCAGGATGCGCCCTGCTGTACGTCCGGATTCCTTTGCAGCTAGGATTCCAAATACCATTCTGGTTCCTCCTGTCCCACGCACCAGCACAAGAAGGTACCGCTGAAGCAGAAGCTGGGCTTCTTTCTGCTGTTCTTTCCATCTCAGGAGGACCTCACAAACACCAACAACCCAGCTCAGCTTGCAGCCCTGAGCCCAGGCCTTGCAGGAGAGACCGTTTTCACAAGTAACCCCGTCCTTGCTCTTGGGGTACAGAGCCCAAGGCCTACTTTTCCTGAGAGCAGGAGTGGACACGTACATTTATTTCCAGGCTGGTCCTGGAGAGGGGGGCAGATGGCGGGCCAGTGAGCCAACACAGAGTCCCTGGGCCCAATGCCTGGCGGGTAGCACATAGCAGCTGCAGGGACAGCCAAGCCCTTGAGTCACCTAGAAGCCATCTTCTAGGTGACAGAATTCCTCTGAATCCAGCTCTGCTGTCCAGAGGTACAGAAGCAGCATTCTGTCATCCTCCCTGTGTGGAGTTTCCAGCCTTAAGGCCATGTCCTTGCCACTGTTCCCGGCGTGGAGTGGGAAGCCTGCTGGCAGCCTAACCCTCTACTTCTTTATCTGGCTGTCACTGGGCTACTCTGTGGGTCTTTTCTAAAGTAGGTATGGTACATTTAGGGGTGGGGGATCTCTGCAAACCTCCATCTCTGTCAAGGCCCCCCATTTCCTGACCCCCATGTGGCTGGCAGCCTTCAGGACAGTGTGGCAGAGAGAAGGGCTCCATTGGATATGGGAGAGCTGGGCCTGGCATTTCCAGGCTGGCTGCTCTGAGAAGTCCAAAGGCATCCAGGGAAGGAGAGGAGAACATGGACTATTGGAGGTTGCAGCCACCGTCCCCGAGGCACGGGCCCAGTGATGCCATCACTTCAGTCTATCTGCTGACATCGATGGCGGTGGGGTAGGCTGGCTTCTGGGGCAATGAAAGGCCTCCACGACGCAAGACAGCAGGAGGATGGTGGTGGACTGGGGATGCCAGTCTCAGCACCTTAGGCAGGTAGAGAACCCAACAGTGCTTGCATCAGTTTCCTGTGCTGCCATCACCCAGTACCACAGGCTGTGTGGCTTCAACAACGGTCTCTCGGTTCTGGAGGCTACGAGTCTCAGATCAAGGTGTCAGATGGGTTCCATTCTCTCTCAAACTATGGCTAGAATCCTTCCTTGCTTGCTCCTAGCTTCTGGTAGTCCCAGGCACCCCCTGGCTTGTGGATGCATCCCTTTAGTCTCTGCCAATCCTCACCTGATATGCTCCCCACGTGTCCGCTCACATGGCTGTCTTCTCTCTGGCTCTCTGTTTATAATGACATCAAGTCATACTGGGTTAGGCCCGCCTTACTCCAGTATAACCCCAGCTTAACTAGTTTATATCTGCAAACAGCCTAGTTCCAAATAAGGGTCACAGTCTGAGGTCATAGGGGTTAGGATCTCAATCCTTCAACCCAGTGCAGCGGTGCTTGATCGTAAGGGTGCTGCTACACAGCCTTGCGGGGCTCACTCCAGCTGCTCTTCCCAGGCTGGACACAGCTGCCCCACTGGCCGTGGCTCTGACCCAGGCAGCAGGTGCTCTTGGCCTTGGCCTCGCTGTGTGGGAGCCCTTCTAGTTTCTTCTTTCTCCACCTCCCTTGCTTGCTGGGACGGCT